CCATTAGCTGTTGTTATTTTTAGAGAGCGCCCAGCAGTTTGCCATGGTGCTGTGTGACCTCGTCACTCTAGTGCAGCTTTCAATTTAGGTAATCAAGCAACTGGGACGGCAGGCTTGGAAGGGCCCAGCGCAGGGCTGGGCTGACCACGGTAACAGCAGCTACACTTGTAGTGCTGGCCGTGCTGGGTGCTGTTTCATATACAGGTGGAGTATCCTTTATCCGAAATTCGTGGGACCAAAGTGCTTTTGGATTTCAGATTGTTTTGGATTTTGGAACACTTGCATATTCATAATGTGGTATCTTGGGGATGGGACCTAAGCCTAAATGTGAAATTCATGTTTCACATGCACCTTATGCACATAGCCTGAAGGTTAATTTTATTTTTCTCTTGAGGACACTGAATAAACTATGTTGTGTGCCTGTGTTTTGACTTCTCATCACATGAGGTCAGATGTGGAATTTTCCACTTGGGGCATCACGTTGGTGCTCTAACAGTTTTGGATTTCAGAACATTTTGGGTTTCAGGTTTGTGGATTAGGGATACTCCACCTGCATTACCTCAGTTGGTCCTCAAATAGCTCTATGAGGTAGGTACTCCTGTCATCCCATTTGACAGATCAGTGCATGGAAGCCCAGAGAGACTGAGTAACTTACCTGAGGGCACACAGCTGGTAAGGAGCAGAGCTGGGAGTTGACCCCAGGCAGGTGGGCCTGGTGCCTGTGTTGTAACCATCAGTGTTTCACTTGGCCCCAGCCTCAGAGAGGGAAGGTACTTTTCCAAAGGCTCACAGTGATGCGTGGTCTCTACGCCTCCTGGCCCCTGGCTTGCCTTCTTTCTGCCAAGCCCTGTCCAGTGCCGTGCTGGGCTCAGGGCACACGCCAGTAACCTGACAGACGTCAGCCTGCCGTTGGCTGTTGTTCCCTCACGCGTGAGCTGGAGGGGGGTAGCAGGGTGGGAGAGGTGTGCTGGAGGTGACTGTCCTCCTGGGGCCCAGGCAGCACCTCCTGCTCTGCCTTCAGGGACCCTGGAGCCAGGGAATGGCAGCTTTCCTCCCCTGGTGATCTGGGCGTGGTGGGGGGCGCTAGCCTTTCCATGACTCCCGCTGACTCGGGCCGGCTCTCAGCCTTTCCTCCCACCGTCCCCTCTGGAGGACAGGGCGGACTCTGCGCGCTGGGTCAAGGCTGGCTCAAGGGTTTCACAGGGAGGAAGCGTGAGTCACCAGGGCCTTTGCGAGCTCTAGGTGAATGGAAGGGGTGTGTCAGGGGACTTGCTCCCATCTCTTGGGCCTCCTGGGCTGCAGGAGGGGGCCTGGGAGGGCTGGGGTGTTCCATTATTGCTCCGCTGATGTTACGGGAAGTTCTTTTGAAGTGGTCTCCGTGACCCAGTGGCACTGAGTCAGAGTAAACAGAATTAGCAGGGGCTGGGCTCTAGGGAAGGACACAGACAATGCCCGTTGCCCGGGCCAGTCCCAGAAGGCCGCCAAGCTGGCCCTGTCCCAGCGCCTGCCTTCCTTCCGCCTCTCCTGGCGCTTCTGCTGCAGCTTGCATTTGCATCCCACCTGCTGACGCCAGGTCCCCCAGGGTCTGGACCGCATGCCCTGGGGGCTTGTCAGAAATGCAGAGCCTCAGGCCCCTCCCACGTCTGCTGAACAGGTGCCTGCACTTGGACCAGGCCCCCTGTAAGTACTTGGACAGAAAACCCCCCTCGTGCCAGCCTCTGGCCCACACACCCATGCAACCCTGGCCTCAAGCTCCCCTTTTCTGGAAGTGTTTCCACATCATCCATTGCCGGGTCCTCTCAGCACCTCTGCACTGGCCTGCACTTGGGTAGCTCACATGAGTGAGTGAGCGAGTGTGAGAGTGTGCGTGTGTGTGCAGGGGAGCCGGGCTGATGCAACAGTCCTTGTCAGCTTGGGCCCCTCTGTGAGGGGGACGGGGTGGCCCAGCACAGCCTTTCGAGCTGCTGTAGGTTTGGGGCAGGTGGGGTGGAGGTGCCTTCAGGGGAAGCCGGGGAAATTGTTCCCGTCCTGGACTGGGCCGTGGCAGACAATGAGGGGACCACACGGGGCATGGCAGTGTGCTCCGTTGAGATGGGACTCCTGCTGGCTTCCGAATTTGATTGTGAAACCCCAGAGGTAGATGACATCCGACGCCTCGGCCCCACCGAAGCCACTGACTTTGAAAGGACACCGTGTGACTTTGAGCGAGAGCGACGCCTTTTGCCTTTTCCTGACGGTCCTGACCACACAGGGACCTTTAAGACAACAATAGCCGCAGAGACAAAAGCATGACTGAGACAGTGTCGTCTTTGGGCCTTTTTTCCCCCCTTAATGACGTCCGAGGCTCTGGGAACATTGCAGAAACTGGGTCCAGTCCAATTTTCATCACTTCCCCCCACGAGCTCTTAGGAGCCCTGCCAGCTCGCTGGGGTGGGGGGGTGATGCCCGGAGATGCAGATAAAGATGTCATGCTGCCCCAGGTCAGGCCCAGTCAGGACTTTGGGGACAGGGAAGGGGAGCAGCGTGTGTTGGTTGGCTGGTGGACTCCCCCAGCCAGGGAGGGAGACGGGCGGAGAGAGACAAGGGTGTCTGCCAAGCTTAATTAACAGTGGAAACTCGCCACGGGGGAGGAGAGAGACGATTTGAAGAGCAGGGGCGGTTTACTGGAAGATGGGGCACCATCTTCCAGCAGTGATGCCAGCAGTGAGGAAGGAGCGTGCGTCGTCCTAAGCCAGGTTGGATCCAGCACAGAGATTTCTGGAGGTGCGAGTGGGAGGGTATATTCGTGCCTGCTTCCCAAGTAGGCGTCTTTCAAAAACAATCCGCCGGCATACCAGCCGGCTAGTCTTCCTTGCCCCCATAAAGAGGAAAAAATAATTTTTTAAAAAGGCAATTGAGTTCAGAAAATAAGACATTGTGTTGGGTTCTCGTTCTTTGAAGGTGGTATCCGTGGATTGCCTGAGTTGCGTTTGACTTTATCACACAGATCTCGAAGCAGCACTTATTAGCACGAATGATGTGGGAAGAGAGATGATCTGAAAAATTCATGGTGCTCATTGCTTTGTTGAGACAAAAACGCAGAGATGTTGAATGCACAGCAAAACCAATTGTAGGGATTGAACTTGAAATACAGGAGGCGGAACATGGCTTATTCATTTCTTAGTGGGATCATAGGCTTTCAGGGCTGCAGGGGGTTTTCGGGTTCCATCTCCCTTCCAGCGTGCAGACTTCCCCGGTGACACCCGTGCCAGAGAGTGCCAGGCCCCCCAGCCCCCAGGCTCTGCAGGCCGAGGCAGTGCTGACTGGCTGACATGACCTGTTGAGAGCCGCGGGTTTCTTCTCCAGCATCCAGCCTGGGCTCCCAGTTCCGCTGCTGGAGGCCGTGAGTCCCCAGGCTAACCCCTTCTGACGGTCTGCTGGAGGACAGGACACAGACCCACTGCCTCGTCATCCTCTGCAACCCGTGCTCAGCACCCTCAGCTTCTTCAGAGAGCCTCAGAAAGTGTGATAATGAGGCCACCAGTCATTGCTGGCCACTGTCCTAGTTCTTGCCATTACCAAAGTCCCTTTATGCTTGTTTTTTCTTTTTTCTCTCCCCCTTCATCCCTTTTTCTGGCAGGCACGCCTGCTGGCTCGCCAGCGGGCCTTTGTACCAAGGCTGGCTGTCTCTCTGCCCTCCACATGTGGTCCTCACGCCAGCACAGTCTCCCCTTGCCCCTGGGGTCTATCCTGTCCCCCAGCCGGCCTACGTCCCCTCCTCCCCCGTTTACTGCCATCTCTTCATCTCTCCTCTCTCCCTTCTGAGGGTGGGTGTGGGGCGGCCAGGCAAGAGTTGAGGGGGAAGAGAGCCCCTTACATTTGGCCCCCACGTTTCTGGTTCTGGGGCCTAAGAGCTCATGAGTTCTTGGCTACTTCCTGATACCAGAGCCCAGAGCTTTGTGCAAAACCTTTATTGCAGAAATCCTGTCTCTAGCTCACCCACTCGGCCTGGTACATACACTTCATTGTATAGTTCTTTTGGGTCCAAGAACGAAACACTGTATTCCTCCCATTCTCTTGTTTTATTTGACCTGCCGTCTCTATGCTGTGCTTTTTTCGACTCCCAAATTAGCCTCTGAGTCAGATTGTCTTCCCTTTTAATTTTGTGTCACCTGTCGCCTTGATAAGCAAAGCACACCTTCTGTCTGTTCATCAGTGGAAATGCAATTGCTGAAATGGTGCAGGGGAAAGGACCTTGCAAACCAGCTGGTTGAACAGCTGCACTTTACAAACCAGGAAACAGAGTTCCAGAAAACTGAAGAGACTTGCTCAGCACAACCCAGTGACACATACCTGGAGAGAGCTAGGTTCAGAAATTAGGGTTCCAGATCCAGGGGTTTTCCTGATACCAGGCAGGTAACATCTGGCTTTGCAAATATTTCAATTCAAACTATGATGGTGGTATGTCACAACCAGGAATTAACACTAAGTGTGGACCCAAAAAAAAAAAAAAAGCACGTGCTACTCATCAGCTTTGCTGACAGTATAATTGCTCATAATTTTATGAGCAACTTTTAATAAGAGGGCAGACCCTGACTAAATTATTAAGGATGGAGGTTAACTATAGTTAGAACACAGGAGCAGAACAGTCAGGAAAAGAACAAGTAGTTCAGGTGGCGTTTAATTTATGCTGTTACCCTCTGCATGGAGGCCAGAAGCCCGTTGATAAGAATCTGTAGGAAATCCCCACACCCCGTCTTAACCTGGGGCATGTGGCTGCCTTGCTACCTACGCCTTCCCCCAGGTGTCCCTCTGCCTGCGGGTCAGTCTCCAGCGCAGGAGGGGTGGGTGAAGCGGGGCAGAGGCTGGGCAGAAACGCAGGGGCCAGGTCCTGCCGAGCACAGCTCCTCTGCTGGCCCCTGGGTAGGGCTTTCTGACCATCAGCCGGGTTGACAGTGGCTTTGGTGTGCAGACAAGTGTACCCTCGGGGTTAGTAACGTGGTCTCCCCTTCTGTCCCCAGGCTCCACCTACAGCGTCCTGTCCACCATGCCCTCGGACTCGGAGAGCAGCAGCTCCCTCAGCAGCGTGGGTGAGTTCCGCCTTCCGGGCCGGGGCTGGGTGTGAGCCGGGCAGCCCGGGGCTCGTGGGAGGGGGAGTTGGTCCTCCCTGGTCACATTGCTCCTGGGGCGTCTTCTGTTGATTCCATTCACATTTTCTGTCATCAGCACAGAGGTCTGGCTCTGGAGTGCTGGGAAGGCACGTGTGTTGCCATTTCTTTACTTTGTCAGGGCATAGGGGTTTTCAGGGACCCTGTGGTCACCACCACCCCACACACCCAGAGGCCTTGCAGTGCTTCAGTGACTGCTACCCAGGAGACCGACCTCTTTTGGAACTGGGCAGTGTGTTGCCTTGGGGACAGGAATTGCCAGTCCACGTTCAATTGAATTGGATATGTTTCTCTGAACATGGGTTCCAGGAGGCCCAGAAGGGAGGCCAGCCCTGCTCTTATAGTTCACTGAGGGTGAGCGGGAAGGTCATGATAGTCTCTCAGTCTTGCCACACCTCTGTGACCCTTCCCGTGTTATGACCCCTGTGTCAAACACTTCTAGAGGGTTTCTGATGTCCTCACCTGGCCGTGATGGATGGACACCTTCAGTGGTGAGTCCTGGAGTCTTTGAGCTGGAAAGGCTTACAGAGGTCATCTCCAGTTAGTTTGTTTTTCTCCTATAGAGATGGGGAAATTGTGATTTTTCTTTTTTTCTTTTTTTTTAAGATAGACGCTTGTTTTGCTGCCCAGGCTAGAGTGTAGTCATGCAATCATAGCTCATTGCAGCCTCCACCTTCTGGGCTCAGGCGATCCTCCTGCCTCAGCCTCCCAAGTAGCTAGGACCTCATGTGGTTGCTGCCATGCCCAGCTAATTTTTAAAAAAATCTCTTGAAGAGATGGGGTCTTGTTATGTTGCACAGGCTGGTCTAGAACAGCTGGCCTCCCAAAGTGCTAGGATTACAGGCGTGAGCCACCACACCCAGCCGAGAGGTGGGGAAATTGACATTGTGGGAAGGGAAGTCTCATGCCTGAGATCCTAGAGCTAGCCAGGGACAGACCTTTCATAGGTCTGTTCACTTCCTGAACACCTGTCAGAGGTAGGCTTGGGATGTAGAGGTTAATAAGGCAGATGTGGGCCTGCATGTGTGGATCTAGGGGTCTGTGGGGAGACAGTTAAATTAGTAATTACAACAAGGCCAATGAGAGGAAAACAGGTGCCGGTGGAGGAGTTCTATATTAGTTTTGTAGGGCTGCTGTGACAACATACCGCAGACTAGGTGGCTTACACAACAGAAATTTATTGTCTCACTGTTCTGCAAGACAGAAGTCCAAGATCAGAGTGTCAGCAAGGCCATGTTCCCTGAAGGCACTCGGAGGATCTGTTCCAGGCCTCTTCCCTAGCTTCGTGCTTTGCTGGCAATCTTGGGCGCTCCTTGGCTTATAGACGCATCACACTGATCTCTGCCTTCATGTTCACATGCTGTTCTCCTGTGTGTGTCTGTCTCCGAATTTCCCCTTTTAAAAAGGACACTGGTCGTATTGGCTTACGGGCCCACCTTGTTCCAGCAGGACCTCATCTTAACTTGGCCATCTTAAAGACCTTCTTTCCAAATAAGGTTACGTTCATGTTTACTGGATTGGGACATCAACATCTTTTGGAGGGCCACGGTTCAGCCCATAACAACACGATTCGTCCTGTCTGGGGTTCAGGGAAGACTCTTCTGGGACCACGACTCAGAGCTTAGAACAGTCTCGTATTGCTTTGCTTTGCCTGTTTTCCCTGCCGTGAGGCACATTTATTGAGTGGTGGGTTGTTGGGATTTTGAACACGGGGTTATCCCTTTAAGAAGCATATGACGTGGGGCAGCTGGGATCAGGAGAGGGAAAGGTGTAAGGCTTTTGTAACCTCGTGAACTGGGTGAGCCCTGGGCGTACCCCTCACCTGTGTCGCTCCCTCCCCCTTCTCATGATCTGACAGGTACTGACAGACACACTCATGTTGACGTTTTAAGACTTAAAGTATTACCCTTCCTGGGATCTTGTGCGTTCTAAAAGGGGATTCTAGAGAGAGGTGTTGCTTAACCAGCAGCAAGAATTGCCAGTGGTGGAACTTCCAGCATGAGCAGGAAGCTGTTTTGTGCAGCTGGACCTCTGCATATTCTGGAAGAAGCATGGTGGCCGTGACCCACCAATTGGTTCTGCCTGGTTCAGCCCTTGGAATGGAGGTGTCAACAGTGTTTCCAGATTGTTCTTGGGAGCCACAGGCAGGCAGAGAGCAACGCGCTGATGCGTTTTCTGTGGCAGACTGGGGCTGTCCTGTCTGTGCCCAGATCTTTAATGCTGAAAGGACTGGTTGCATCCCTTCTGGTCAAGTCCTCTGAGGTTCACGAGGAACCGCGTTGTGCTTCTCTTGCCCCTCTGCTGAGGGTTGATGTTGCCCTTTGTGTGCAAGCACCAGGGAGCACCTGCTCACACTGCCCTGCCCAGCGAGGGAACACACTACTTGCATAATAGGCAGTGTTGACGTCAGCTGGGGACGGCAGGACGCGGCTCTGCCCCCCTCTGTGTGGTGTCTTCCCCCAGGCGCATGGCGGGGCGCCTGTAGCAGCAGTTCCGGCCACACATCAAGACCTCAGGGCGTCCAGGGCTGCTGTATCCAGGATGAGAGCCACTAGCCACAGGGGGCTATGTAAATTTACATGAATTAAAATGGAATTTAAATGTCTAGTTTCTCAGTCACATTAACCGCATTCCAAGTGCTCTGCAGCTACCTGTGGCTAGTGGCGGCAGAGGGTGGCTTCTCTAGTGTCTCTTTAGGAGCAAAGAAACCTGTTCCAGAGCCCCTCTGCACAGATGCCTCTCACTGACCACAGATGAGTTGCTTATGTGTGCTGAAACCAGCAGCTCACAAAGCCTGGTCCCTGGACTACGTGGGCGCTCATTAGAGAGGCAGGTTCTTGAGGCTCACCCCACACCTGCCGCATCAGAAACGTGAGGGTGGGGTATAGTCCTCCAGGCTTGAGATGGGCTGGCCTGACCTAATCCCTGGCAAGGGAACTGGAATGTCCAGCGGCTCACCTAGTCCCTGGGGGTGGACTGACAGGTGGGGTCGGCTCCGGGACCGCTCTAGCACCTGCTGGACAGTGCCTGCGGGCTCACCCCACCTGACGGGAGGCAGGCCCCTTTGCGCACACACACCACCCTGGCAGGAGGGGCGCCAGGAAAGTCAGATCGGGACTGCTCACTTTTGCATGTTGGGTCTTTCTCCATAAACCTGAGGAAAGGCAAGAGCAAGCATCTTGTGATAAAAACATTACCTGCACTTTCCCACCTAAAGAGAACCAGCTGGGAAAAGAATGGCAAGTTACATTCTGCATGGGAGAAAATCGGTAGGTGAAGCCTTAGGCAGGTAGACACCATTTTCTTGGTGACAGGTAGTGTCTGGGAGGCCCCTCCAGCGATCAGTAGGTCCTCAGGTGGTCTGTCCCACTTCCGACCTCCAGCTTGGCCCTACTACCAAGTCGTCACATGCCTTTTCGGCAGTTTTCATCAGCTAAGCACGAGTGGCTCTTCTGAGGCTTCCTGGACCCTGTGCCCATTACTGTGCCCTGCCCTGACCCGGCCTGTGGGTCTGCTGGGGCACGCATGCTCCTTTCAGGCAGTGTATGTTTGTTCCTCTGTGTTCGTCCTGACCTGATTTCCCCTAATTGGCCTTTTGTTTCTCATCTTGGATAACTGGGGAGGTTTTAAGGAGGAGAAGACGCATTCTTGGGCAGCATTTATACAGCGAGCCTTAAATTCCATGCAAATTGAAGCAGGAGATTTCTTATTAAATGGAGAAGTCTCTCGGCTTGTTGGCAGGAGAAAGAGCTGGAGGGCTTCCCTTCGATCCCAGGGAAGATTCCTTGAAAGTGCTGCCTCTGGTTGATAAGGGGAGGTGCAGTGAGTCACCATGGAGGCCAGCGCTCCCACTGACTCCCCAAGACCTCAGACCCTTCCTTCCCTGGCCCAAGATTTTGGGTCAGGGGCACCCCTTTGGAACGCTTTTGTTTTTATCTCAATTTATCGGACATGTGAGAACACCACCTCCTCTTGGAGCACGTGTTCAGTGCGTGTAGGGATCACGGCAAGGCCTCCTGTGGGACAGGTAAGCAGCTGGCGGTTCTGCCCTGTGTAGAACAGAAGGAAATAGCTCAGGGGAAGGAGCAGGTAGTTCTGATGCGGGGAAGCACCTGCTTCCTGGAGGACATGGTGCTCTTGAGTTGGGCCTTGCAGGGATGGTGCTCTGGACTCTGGGGCAGCCGTGAAGCAGCTGGCCATTGATGTTCATCTTGGGTTTCAGAAAAGCAGACCCTGAGTCAAGGGTTCCATAGCAAGCAGTTTATCTGGCTGGAGATCTGGGACCTGGGCCTGCTGTGTTGGAATCTAACCTTTCAAAGACAGCAAGGAGCCAAGCTGGAGTCATTTTCTCACTGACCAAAGGGGCAGTCCCCCCGTAGGCCTTCGTAGTTAGGGGCAGTTAGGGGTCCCTACTGCATTTCATCAGTGGGGGATTCCTTTACATGCAGTGGCTGCTAGGTAGTCAGTAAAACAAAAAGCTCACTCTGGCCAGCAAACGCAACTCTGCTTTAGCAGAGTCCTCAAGCTTTGTCAGGCATGGGCATCACCTGGAGGGCTGATTAAGACACTGTGTGATGCTGGGGTTTACGCCCAGGGCTCCTGATCCAGTAGGTCTGGGTGGGAGCTGAAAAAGTGCATTTCTAACAAGACCTCTAGTGAAGCTTAGGTGCTTTAAGAGGCACTGGTACAGGGCAGGGGCAGGGCACCTGGGCTGCAGGTGAGTGTGGTTCAGTGCTCTGATAACTGTGGGCTGCCACTGCTTGCTTCTTCCCCGACAGCCAGGGTTTGGAGGTGGCCAGGAAGTTTACCTGGGCATCTCTAGCCCACCTGCCCACTTTTGCCCAGTGAGAGCTGCCTGCTTGGCTTCTTGCACCACAGGCCTACAGGACTCTGAAGCAAAGTTGGGACCCGTCCAGCTATAA